ATTAAACATTTAATAATCACTGAGGATATATTTCGGTTTCATATGTTAATATTTCACATATGGTAATACATTTTTGTATGTTTCAATGTATATATTTTTTTAAATAAATAAAGAATTTTAAAAAAAGCTCCCCCACCAATCTTCCTGCTCCCCAGCAAGCTTTCCACCAGACCATAATGATTGCTTCCCCTCATGCCAAAAGGTAAGCAGGAAATGGGCAAATAAAAAAAACATATCCACACACAACACTTACAGCTAAATAAACACAAAACACAGACTCAGAGCTACAATCAAAAATTGTGTGGCCCCTTACACAGTTACACACCCCAAGTCTGCCCCCACCCTTTCCACCACCATCTCCCACCTGCCAGGAAATCCACCAACAGGAATTGGAAAGCCAAAAGGTCAAAGGTTGGAGACTAGGTAGCATAGTCAGAATCAAAGCTGAGAGTCAGAAACCAGAAATCCACAAAACAGGAACTGGAATAACAAGAAGTAGGAATAAATGCACCAGGACGCCAGGGGATTGAGACAAAGCACTAGAAAAACCAAGCACTGACCAAGAGGCAAACTCTATCACGTGACCGGCCCCCAGTGGCTATAAAGGAAAGGCAGGAACTTTGAACCATATTGGATGTGCCTCAGTCCCTCCCCCTTGACTCTCCGTCCGACCTCCCTGGTCCTCTCTGATCCACTTCCGCGCACCACACTGGTGTCCACCTGGCGGCCACCATCTTGCCAGGGTGTGACCTTTGCCAAGCCTGGCGTCGATGGGGGACACAAGAATCAGCCGAGGAAGTGAGCCTCTGGAGCAGTGGGTGCCTGAGCCTCCAAGGATCCACCTCTAGGACGCCGTGGGCATCCTGGGACAAGTTAGTTTCCACGGGCAACGTGACATACACTCATATTAATATACATGTGTACATATGCGTAGTATTCTCAGAAACCCACTAAAGTTAAACTTTAAAAAAAAATTCCAGTAAAGTTCACCTCCCTCTCTCCCCTGGGCAAGGATTATGTGATGGCAGGCCAGTGCCCGCTAGCCAGCCACCACATTAAACTAGTTAAAAAAAAAAAAAAAAAGAAATATCCTATGGGGGTCAATATAAATAAGTATGTTACTATAATAGAGGTATATTACATTACCTCCATATGCCAAAGTTCTCTGCAGGCACCCACCCATCCTGCTGGGGTGGAGGGGGGTCTATTTAAATACAAAAGTAATAGGGCATGCCATTGTCCACGCCCTTAAATAATAGGCTTCACAGTGACCCGCAGTGGCTAGATGACCCCAATCCCCTAAACACCACCTAAAATAAATTTCCTACTTACCCCCCTCACCAGTGGTGTATCCTGGTTTTGTGCTGCCCTAGGCAGGACAAAAATCAGTCGCCCCCCAACCCCCTCGCCGCGCGCGACCCCCACCCATCCCTTCCCCCGCCCCGCCTTCTAAATACACACACACACATTCACTGACAGATACGCATACACTAGCTAACAGAAACACACACTCACTGACACACACAGACACACACACTCACTGAAACACACACTCACTAACAGACACACACACTCACAGGCAAGCACACACTCACTAACAGACACACACTAGCAGACACACACTAGCAGACACACACACTCACAGGCAAACACACTCACACTAACAGTCAGACACACACACTCACTAACAGACACACTCACTAACAGACACACACACTAACAGACACACACACTCTAACAGACACACACACCAACCCCCCGCCGTGCGACCCCCACCCATCCCTTCCCCCCACCCCGCCTTCTAAATACACACACACACATTCACTGACAGATACGCATACACTAGCTAACAGAAACACACACTTACTGACACACAGACACACACACTCACTAACAGACACACACACTCACAGGCAAGCACACACTCACTAACAGACACTCACTAACAGACACACACTAGCAGACACACACACTCACAGGCAAACACACTCATACTAACAGTCAGACACACACACACTCACTAACAGACACACACTCACTAACAGACACACACACTAACAGACACACACACACACACACACTAGCAGACACACACACACACACTAACAGACACACTCACTAACAAACACACACACACACTCACTAACAGACACACACACTAACAGACACACTCACTAACAGACACACACATATGACACACACACACACACACTAACAGACACACACACACACACTAACAGACACACACACTAACAGACACTCACACACACTAACAGACACACACTCACACACACTAACAGACATACACACTCACTCACATTAACACATTTTTTTTAATCCCCTCCCCCCCCTCCTTACCTTTGGGAGCGCTGGGGGGGGAGGGGTTCTCTATCTCCCTGGTGGTCCAGTGGCTGCTGGGCGGGCGGGCGGGCAAGCGGGCAGGCGGCTGGCAAGGGAGCTTTTCCTCTGTGCACTCTGCTCAGCTCCCTCACGCGCCTCAGAATATGACGTCATATTCCGGCTCCCAGCCTCACTCTTTGGCGCGCGAGGGAGCTGAGCAGACAGCTCAGAGGAAGAGTTCCCCCGACAGCCGCCTGCCCGTTTGCCCGCCCAGCAGCCACTGGACCACCAGCTTTTTTTCCCGCCCCCTGGAAAATGCCGCCCAAGGCAAATGCCTTGTTAGCCTCGCGGCTAAAACGCCCCTGCCCCTCACACTAATAATAGTGAGGAAGGAGCCATAAAATCAGAGCACTCTGACAGCCAAGTCTCACTTCTCTTTAGATTTGCCATCGTGCATAAGCATGGAGCATCTCAAAAAGCACTCTAAGCTGGTTTTTGTTATTCATTGGTCAAATAAGCAGGACTTCTGACCAAAGAGGACATAATAGTGGTAGCTTTCATAGAGAAATTGGAAGTCAGGAAAGATGCACTTAAAATAAGTATTTACTATCCAAAAATTATTACTGCAGATATTGGACATATTTGGACTAGAAAACATTATACATTTCTGTTGTGCAGGACCTTAATTTTGATTGCAAATGTGAATACCAATAATTGCGAATTTTAAATTTGGAGTCAGAGTGGATGACCTGGGAAAATTCTCGAAGTCACGTATTCTTTCAGTTCGGTGGCTCTGGCCTTGAAGTTCCCCTTGAGTTCACTTTGATGGATAACCCTGTTAGAATTACTTTTGTGAATATGTCAGTTTGGTTTTTATTTAAAGTTTAAGCATGTGTGTGTTATACTTGTTTAAGGTGTGTTCTCCAACTTTGATAAAGTATTTAGATTACATTTATTTCAACTCAGAATTATTACAAAATATTGACCCATTGCAAATTATATATTACTGTGTCTAAAAGCAATTGTTAAATTACACAGAGCTGTGAAGAAATCCCCCTTTTAGTACCCTATTTCTGCCTATAGATGTAACTACCGAACAAAGACCACCCCACTGGCTCGTTAAACATCAAAGATTACTTCAATTGATGCCTCTGTCTGTGCGGCCAGTGTTCGTAGTGCCGAATGCCACGTGGCAGAGAAAACCGCGGCCATCTTTGTTCCTGCGAACAAAGGCAGCGGGACTTGGTCGTCGAGTGTATGGAACTGAAATCGGACACTCGACTTCCCGAACACCGGTCTCAAACAGATGAACGCTGGAACTCTACTTACCGAATAGCTAGAAGAGCGCTATTCGGTACATTGGTGCATTCGACAGAGGGGGACGATCGCTGCTAAGAGTCAGGGGGATCCATTCGGTAGTTTGTTCGTTTTCTCCTCTTTCTAAAGTGACTGGCAAAACCCACCAAACTCATGGAACTGTTTTGGGCATACAGCCCAGGGTGAGCCCAGAAGACCTCCATAGTTTTTGCGAACCCCTGAACCGATCTGGGTGAAATTTGAATATGTTGGTCATCCAGATCAGGGCTTTGTGGGGATACACCAAGTATAAAGGGGTGTCCCAGTTATTGGGGAAAAAGGTGATTTTTCTGCCTGGAGATTGTTAAGTTATTATTTTATCAGACTTAATTATCTCCAGAGCTAGGGGAGGGAACTGTGGGTGTGTGTTATGGTTTTACAGTATGTGATTGGTTCATGTTTGTCTCTCCTTGAGGGATGTCCCCTTGCATGGAGACTTGCATAAAAGCCTGTGTTACCATTAAAAGCTAGTTCATTTTGTACCCTTCTTCTTGACCTCGGCTGATGTTTGGGGATTCGTGTGTTTCACTAAGGGAATCATCTTGTGAAGCTATTGGGATTACTATATGGTTTGTCTACTTTATCTACCGAACGGAGGGCTATAATCACTAAGGCTCTGGCGGTTCGGGAGGAAACTACCGAATGAGGTTTAAATATACTTGGTTTCCTTACAACTGGTGGCAAGCAGGATTCGGGATTTGAATCCCGAATGGACGCCCTGAACCAAGCAAGGGAATGAATGGCTCAGCAATACCAGCTACTTAAAAGAACCACTCTAAAGGATTTACTGAAAGGATTTACTGAAAGCGTAGTGGCAAGTAACAAGACAAAAGCCACGTTAATTGCAGAATTAATACAAAGCGACGGAACCAGCAATACAGAAATGGAGCACGAGGAAGAAACTGAGAAGCAGTAAGATATCCGATGGATGCTCAGTGTATTGGGACCCAATCCATCAACGGAAGAGGTTCTGCAGGGCATGGCACAAACCAGACAATCGCAAAAAGAGCAAGAGGACCGAGACAGACCGCTACAGAAGGGGGATTTGCTACACTCCAGGCCCGGACTGGCCATAGGGCACACCGGGCAAATGCCCGGTGGGCCGCGGTGTCCGTGGGGCCGAGGCCGGCAGGGGAGGTCCCAGGATCTCCCCTGCCGGTCTTTGCAGGGCCGGCACTCTCCTAGCGCCGGCCCCGCTGTTTGCCACAACGGGCCGGTAGGGAGATCAAAGATCTCCCTCACCTGCCCACATGCGGCCGCCGGCGGGGAGAGGGAGGGAGCCAGCCAGCCTGGAGAGAGGACCCGGCGGAGCTCTAATTTGCAGCTCCGCCGGGTTCCTCTCGCGAGATCCGGCGCGTTGCCATGGCAACGACCGGATCTCGCGAGAGTGAACTCTAGCCTCACGGGCTAGAGTTCACTCACCCACGAGGACCACCAGGGAACCCCACCACCCTGCCTTCCAGCGTGCCGGACCCCCCCTCCCAGGCTAAAGGTAAGAAGGGAGGGGGGGGGAACATAGTGTCTGTTTTTTTATTTACCCCCCCCCTACACACACACAATAACATTTATACAGCACTCTCTCACACCCATCACACACAGCACTCTCTCACACAGCACTCTCACACCCATAACACACAGCACTCTCTCACACAGCACTCTCACACCCATAACACACAGCACTCTCTCACACAGCACTCTCACACCCATCACACTCACACAGCACTCTCACACCCATCACACTCACAGCACTCTCACAGAGCACTCACACACACACAGCACTCTCAGAGCACTCTCTCACACAGCACACTCTCACACAGCACTCTCACATCCATCACTGACACACAGCACTCTCACACAGCACTCTCACATCCATCACTGACACACAGCACTCTCACACCCATTACTCACACACGGCACTCTCACACACCGCACCTCTCACATACACACAGAACCCCCCCAACACACTGCACCACACACATACACAATACTTCCAAATATATATATCTACACACACACACACACACACACACACACACACACACTACACTCTTAAAGGACCACATTAGCCACCCAGACCACTTCAGCTTAATGAAGTGGTCTTGGTGCCAGGTCCTTCTAGGGTTAACCCATTGTTTTATAAACATAGCAGTTTCAGAGAAACTGCTATGTTTATCAATGGGTTAAGCCTTCCCCCAAAGCCTCTAGCAGCTGTCTCATTGACAGCCGCTAGAGGTGCTTGCGTGCTTTTCACTATGAAAATCACAGTGAGAGCACGCAAGCGTCCATAGGAAAGCATTATAAATGCTTTCCTATGCGACCGGCTGAATGCGCGCGCAGCTCTTGCCGCGCGTGCGCATTCAGCCGACGGGGCGGATCGGAGGAGGAGAGCTCCCCGCCCGGCGCTGGAAAAAGGTAAGTTTTAACCCCTTTCCAGAGCCGGGCGGGAGGGGGTCCCTGAGGGTGGGGGCACCCTCAGGGCACTATAGTGCCAGGAAAACGAGTATGTTTTCCTGGCACTATAGTGGTCCTTTAACATACACACTCTGGATCCCCTATACACACACTAGATTCCTTGTAAGCAAACACATACTACACCCCTAAACACACACACACTATAGCCTGTATGCACACACTTGCTATATCCCCAATACACACATTCTCTACAGCCCATAGCCACATATGCATCACATTACACCACAAACACAACACGACTAAAACTGACCTTATTACACAATACCACACCACGACCAGCTCACTCTACACACACGCAATACCACAAGCAGGCTCCAAATACATGCACAATACTCTTTCCTGGCCTTTTATCTCCTGGTATCCATTTATAGACACCAGAGACAAGTTGCAAGGAAACACAGTGCAAGCATGTTATTAAATTTGCTTGCACTGTGCAGAACAAATACAGGACTTTTTTCTCATGCTAGAGCTCTTCAGTAGAGCTCTGCGCATGGTCTGCCCTGGAAGAGCATTGAACCAACATGCTCACTTTGAGAGGAGGCGTGTTTGTCATTGGTGATGACAAAACACACCTCCTCTGCCCCGCCCCCTTTTTAGTGGGCCGCTGTGTTAAAAAAATGCCCGGGCCGAATTTTTCTCCCAGTCCGGCCCTGCTACACTCCCCGGGAAGTGCCAATGATCTACCAAGAAAGGTAAACTATGCAGCGTTTAAAAGTTTTAATGACAATGAAATGGAAATTGACAGTTATTTGCAAGACTTTGAACATCAATGTGCACTGGAGGGATTAGACTCCACAAAATGGGCTGCAGTACTGAGCAGCAAACTAGCAGGAAGAGCAGCAGAGGTGTTGAGGGCAGTACCAGATGGGGACATACATAATTATGAGAAAATAAAGGACATTTTGTTGGCTAGATACGCTGTAACCCCAGAGGCATACCGGAAAAGGTTTCGAGAACTTCGAAAGACAGGGAGAGATTCCCACACTGAATGGGCATTTCGGCTACACAGGGTAGCACGTAATTGGATGCAGGGCTGTCAAGCAACTACCCTGGAAGATGCCTTACAACTTATGCTGCTAGAACAATTTTTTAATTACACTGCAGAGGATATCAAAGATTGGGTAAAGGACAGAAAACCCAAAACTGTGGAGGAAGCCGCCAGACTAGCGGGTGAATACCAAGACAACAGGAGGAGGGAACAGGGGGGAAGCAGACCCACGTTTAGGCCCAACTACCCGGTGCCAGCAACCCCTGCCATCCCTAGAGCCGCCGTAAGTAACCCACCACAAGGTCCAGCAGTAACCCCTCAACCCCCTGCAGTGTGTCATTACTGTAAGCAGCCAGGCCATTACAAGAACCAGTGTCCTCGCTTAAACAGAGGAAGCTGGGAAAGGCAACCACCACAACACCCCAGGGCAGCCGCCCATTGTGTTCAGTAGGAAAACACACCTAACCAAGAAGAACAGTGGAGTGTGTTGCATGAGGTCAATCCAGTGCAAGCTGGGGGCGACAACCGGGACCACCACCGCCAATGGATTACAGTGAATGGCGTGGGGGCCTGAGCGCTGAGGGACTCTGGGGCCACTCTAACGGTAGTACAACCCCACACGATCAAGACCCCAACTCGCACAGGTCGCACCGTAGCCGTAAGTGTGGCTGGGGGTGCTATTCACAAGCTACCCACAGCCAACGTACTGATTGATTGGGGTTCTGGGTCCAAACAGTTGGAGGTCGGCATTATGCAGGAGCTGCCAGCTGAGGTCCTGTTGGGAAATGACGTTGGCTGTTTAACTTCACAACTAACCCGGGACACTACCCCGTTACCACCCGAGCCCAAGCTCGACTGGAAGCACCGCTGCACTCTGAGGACAACCAGGTAGGAGTTGACATAGTCCCTTTGCCAGACCCCCCTACCACTTTCTGGGATACCCCACAGGGGTTTGAACAAGAGCAGCGGACAGACCCCACTTTAGAAGGGTATAGAAAGGCCATAGAGATCCCGAAGGGGGACAATCCCCACGAAAAGTTTGAATGGTACAAGGGATTGTTGTACCGAGTGACAGAAGGGGTGGGACACGGGGCCACTCAGGTCACTAAAAGACAGCTAATAGTCCCACGTAAGTTTCGGGCTGAGTTATTAAAACTCAGTCATGATATTCCCCTAGCAGGACATCTAGGGGTTAAGAAGACAAGAGACCGGTTGACCCAAACGTTCTTCTGGCCTAGGGTCACCCAGGATCTTAAATATTATTGTAGAACGTGTGACATATGTCAAAAGATAGGGAAAAGAGGAGACCACCAGAAAGCCAAACTCCACCCTTTACCCATTATAGAAGAGCTGTTTCACAGAGTAACGGTGGACTTAATAGGACCTCTCAGCCGCCCCAGTCCGTCCGGCAAAAAGTTCATTCTCACTGTAGTGGACTACGCCACTAGGTACCCCGAAGCAGTAGCCCTCGCGAACATAGAGGCAGAGACCGTGGCAGAGGCCCTAGTCAAAATATTTTCCCGGGTAGGTTTTCCCCAGGAGATCCTGTCCGATCGGGGGACTCAGTTCACAGCAATCCTGACACAGCAATTGTGGCAGAGCTGTGGAGTGAAAGCCCTATTTAGCGCCCCCTATCACCACCAGACCAATGGACTCTGAACGTTTCAATGGCATGCTCAAGCAGATGCTAAAGACCTTCGCAGGATCCTGCAGGCTTTGGATAAAATATCTTCCCCATCTTCTGTTTGCCTACCGCAAAGTGCCCCATGCATCCACTGGGTTTTCCCCCTTCGAACTCCTGTTTGGGAGAAAAGTTCGGGGCACACTGGATCTCGTACGGGAGCACTGGGAGGGCAACACAGATGAGGGGGGGTCCCTATCGTCCAGTATCTTCTGGAGTTCTGGGACCGACTGCGGGCTCTCACTGAATCTGTTCGGGAGAACCTTCGGGTGGCCCAGGAGTGCCAGAAGAAGTGGTACGATAGGGGCACCAGAGAAAGGGTATTAGAAATAGGACAGAAAGTGTTAGCCTTAAGACCTGCAAAGAAAGACAAACTGCAGGCAGCCTGGCAGGGACCCTTTAAGGTGGTAGAGCGTATAAGCGATACCACCTGTATTGTGAGTAAATGTTCGGATGAAAGGCTGACCAAAGCTTTTCTTGTCAACATGCTCAAACCCTACTATGAAAGAACGGAAGATGTGGGCGCAGTATGTGCCCCCTCATCGGAAGATAGTGAGGGACTACCCCTCCCTGATTTATTAGACACCTCCCCATGTACTATTGACCAGGTAAGCTTGGGTCAGAATCTTAACCCCTCAGAGAAAGGTGAGGCTTCTCAACTGCTTCAGGGATACCAAGAAATGTTTTCAGCCATACCAGGCTATACCTCCGCTGCGGTACACCGTGTAGAAACCCAGGGAGAAACGCCGTTACGGCAGCAACCATATCGTATCCCTGAGGCAGTACGTGAAAATATGCTCACCGAAATAAAGGATATGCTCAAGTTAGGGTTATAGAACCCTCCCAAAGCCCTTGGGCTTCGCCGGTAGTACTAGTACCGAAGCGCGACGGCACCACACGCATCAGTGTAGACTATCGGAGGCTTAACGATCGCACCATAACTGACGCCTACCCTATGCCCAGAATAGATGAGTTACTAGACCGTATGGCTGGGGGGAATTACTTGACTACCCTGGACTTGTGCAAGGGGTATTGGCAGATCCCCTTGGAGCCTGCGGCCATCCCTAAGTCAGCCTTCGTCACTCCATTTGGGCTATACCAGTTCAAGGTTATGCCCTTTGGGATTAAGAATGCTCCAGCTATGTTTCAGAGGATGGCTGATAGGCTCCTAGAGGGGTTCCAGGACTTTGCATGTGCGTATCTAGACGACAGGACCACCTGGGGCACGTGTCCAGGGTACTCAAACGAATTCACCTGGCAGGTCTCACATTGAAACCTGACAAATGCCATGTAGGCCACAGGGTAGGTTCCGGTAGGCAGCGGCCAGAGACGGCTAAAGTAGAGGCCATAGCTAATTAGCTCCAACCTCGTACCAAAACCCAGGTATTAGCCTTTTTAGGGCCGGCCGGCTACTAACGAAAATTTGTCCCAGAGTATAGCGCCCTGGCCAAGCCACTCACCGACCGTACCAAAAAGGCCCTACCAAAACAAGTAACCTGGACCCCAGAGTGCGCGGACCCTTTCCAGAAACTTAAAGCGGCATTGAGTGAGGCTCCTGTGTTGGCAGCACCCGACCACGCTAAACAATTTCTTGTCCACACAGATGCCTCCATGTTTGGGTTAGGAGCCGTGTTAAGCCAAGTGGGGGACGACGGCATGGAACACCCGGTGGCCTACCTCAGCCATAAACTTTTGCCCAGAGAGGTCAGCTATGCCACCGTGGAGAAAGAGTGCC